TGAAGGTTAATTTCAACACCAATACTTTTGCACAGCGAAGTATTACGACTTTCTTCTCCCCGCTTAGCTCTGGGTGCCAATCACCTAACTCAAAATTTATCATTTATATATCAAATTCAGCTTGGTGTCGCGGTTCTAAAAGATATCTACTGTATTGGACAAGTTATTACCAGAGCTTATATGAGTCCTATGACATTATGAATATTCAGCTTCGCAGTGATTATTATTTGACTGAGATGGGAAAGTTGTAAAATTTGTAATTCAAACAAATCATTCACTTATTTGGAGACCAATATTCTGCAATATACACTTGAAAGTTTTGTTAAAGTAGTACAGAAGAAACTTATATGAGGCGTCTGACCTCTTCTAGATACGTTGGTATCAGTGGTGAGGACGACTTCAGGCGAAACTCCTGAAACCTTTGAAGTTTTTGTGTGTTTAGCACTTGGTTGCAGCTACAACCAATTCGGGCAGCTTGTCAGTGTACTGGTAACTATGAAACGGCAAGGAATATACCTTGATTCTTTGAATAGAAATACAGCTATGAAAGCTAACATACTTAATCAAAGAACACTTTGTCTCAGACATATTCATCTAAAATAGTCCATAAAAATAATTGTTCCCGAGCGTAATCAAGAGAGTAATCAAAATGAACAAACCATTACAAATTTTTTATGGGCCATTAAATTTAACTTTGAAGAACTAAGCCAAATCTACTATTGCGCGGAAGTAGCGCACGTGGTCCCCCTTTGAGCTCATGTATAATTAATCATTTGTATAAACTTGATAAGGAAAAACAAGTTAGGGAAAACAGCATTCCATTAAAACTCAAATACAGTATAAGCAAATCAAATTAAAGCTTTGATTTACATTATGCAGTCGCCTCAAAATATGCACTCTTGCCAACTTAGCAAAATATAGGGGAAAAAGAAGTTCTCAGTGGGTCTCAGATGGCTTCAACTTGCTAATGATATGATTGAAGTGTAAAGGGCAATACTAGATAACTAACGCCAAACTCTCTTGCAGTATGTGCTCTAAAATAATTAACTGATAATTATCGATTACCGTAACATTAATAAACCATATTTGCCATCAATTCTGCCTGCTTATCCCTCTTCTATGTTAAGCCTTCTTCTATTAACAGCTGTAGTTTGCCTAGCAGGAACGCCTGCGGTTTCTGGAA